ATTTCTATGTCGTAAGGTTTTCAAATACTCTTTTGCAGGAAATTCATCAAGTCATTTCTACAGGGTTTTCTTCCTGGACTGGCCCTGAAGATATTTTTGTACATTCTCCCAGCTGTGTTGATGATCATGTCAAAAATTGAGGGGCATATAGCATTATCAACGCTAGAACGGAAGACCTCAGTAAAATACTATTACTTTATGTTAGTCAACGTATTTTTGGGAAGCATAGTGACTGGAACCGCGTTTCAGCAACTGCATTCTTTCATTCACCAATCACCTACGGAGTAATATTCTATCCCTGGAAATTTTTTCATTTCTAAGTTTGTACAGGAAGATTTTTTGTTAACTTGCTAGTTTTATTAATTGTGATATTGATATGGAAATCTACCCCACACGCAGTATTGTGGACTTTGTGGAAGGAGAGGAATTGATGGATTGTTTAGGACAATGAACTCAGGAAAGGGCGGTTAAAGAATTATATAGTCTCTCTAGTAATAGTTTTTTCCTAGAAATATAGCCTATAGAGGTAGCTGTATACATTATAGATTCACTTGACTTGCAAATGTATACTTGTGTGTATAAGCAGAGCTCCTTAATGGCTCTAAAAAAGCAGATTGCAGAGCGCGCTTTGATTGAGTTCTGTGGGTTTTGCGTGTGGAACTGAGCCAGTGGAGATAGTTTGGTATGAGTTATGGGGCTTGTTAATTATACTCCATCGGTGTTTGTGGTTGGCTGGTGTGCTAGTGATGGTTGATGCGCGTTGAGGCTTCAAATCTATAAGAGTGAGAAGAAATAACTTGAATGTCCTTTATTTTTGTTAGACCAGAAAATCAATCAGTTTAATTGTTCTGCTGCTAGGGTGGGCGTCCACTTTTTCTTAAACCGGACGCCCAATTTGGAGACTAACTGTGCGTGCGTGGGTGGGTGGGTTGGTAAGGGTGTGCAGGTGTGGGGCAGTGGCATACTGTTCGATGCTAATATAATACTTAGAAATTAGGATTAGACGCTTATTTGAGAGATTGACTGTCTCTGGGTTGGGGGGGCAGGGGAGGAGGGGTGTTGAGTGTTGAGTGATTACACTTTATAGGGTTGATATAAAGGATTAGAATTTGGTCTGGATTCACTTTGACTTGGTAACTTAAACCTGTGTTTCCAAAGTCCACTATTCTAATGACAGACCTGTATCAGACAAATTCAAATCATGACATAGAGATCAATTCAAATCATTAATATTAGCAAAAAGATATTAAGTGATATTATCATACCAGAAACTTATCTCGGGTGCTTTTATCGATATACAACTTCATTAACCTATCTTTTCATCTGTTTGATATGACTGTTCTTTAATGAACCTTATTTATAGGATTCCAAGAACACTTCATTAACCTATCTTTTCATCTGTTTGATATGACTGTTCTTTAATGAACCTTATTTATAGGATTCCAAGAACCATTGGAGTGTCTATACCAACGAAGGCTACTTTCTTTATTACGTATATAATGGTTGATGGATGGGCTGGAATTGCTGGCGAAATCCTCCGTTTGAAACGACTGGTTATATTTCATCTCAAGAACATGTTTTTGGTAAAAACCGAGAGAGACAGAATAAAGGCAACGGACCCTGGGAGTGTGGATTTTCCAGAAACCCTCCCAAGTCTTCAACTTTACTTCCTTCTTGGTATCGTGTATGCTGTGATCACCCCGATCCTGCTGCCTTTCATACTAGTTTTCTTTGCCTTTGCATACTTAGTCTACCGTCATCAGGTCAGTTCATTCATCTTTTTAGTTTTGATAGGCTAGTTTCTGCATCACGTTTCATTGTTTATCCATGTAATTTGTTCTCTATTTCTCGTTGCAGATAATCAATGTGTACAATCAACGATATGAAAGTGCTGCCGCATTTTGGCCGCAAGTTCATAGCCGCATAGTAGCAAGCTTACTGATATCTCAACTACTTCTGATGGGTTTGCTAAGCACAAAAAAGGCTGCTAATTCTACTCCATTACTTGTTGTTCTACCAATATTAACATTATCGTTCCACAAGTTCTGCAAGTATCGATTTGAACCTGCATTTAGAAAGTACCCGCTCGAGGTAAGCTCAGAACTTTTAATTAATTTATTGAGGTGCATTTGACTTTTATATACGCTTACACAGGAGCATGTAATTTTTTTTTCAAATTTCTGGTGGCAATTATTTTCTCTGTGACTTGCTCAGGAAGCAATGGCTAAAGACACAATGGAACGGACTGCAGAACCTGACCTAAATATGAAATCGTACTTGGCTGATGCATACTTGCACCCTATTTTCCGATCATTTGAGGAGGAGCCACCAGTTGAGGAGGAGCAGGAGTTGGTTGAAGTTAGAGTAGACAAACAGCAAACTCGAATTGCCACACCCATAACAAGCGAACTCAGTTCCCCCTCTCCGCCCCCTTATGTCCATCATACTGAATCCCCTCCCCAGTATTCCTATTATCAGTCATCTCCACCTCAATACGTCTACAATTCAAACTCCCCACCCAGATATGTGTACCATTCAACCTCCCCGCCACACTATGCCTACCTCAACGAAGATCATTGAACAGTAACTTGCAGCAAGTATGCTTACTAGAACTTCTAACCAGGTTATCTTAGCTTTTTCTTTCTAGTTGCTTTCTGCTGTTGGGTTGAGTTCCTGTGCATTGTAATTGTACTTATAGTTTCATTATTTTTCTAGCGTAATTGGGTTCTGAAAACTTTTTGTTAGGGTGATTTTTAGCTGAAAGTCTGAGAAAATTTCAGAGAAGCAGTCCCAAGTTTAAATCAGGACAGGACGCTTGCAACGGGACACGGTTATACCGGAAAGAAATATAACTAGCTCGAATTGATTTTACCTTGGTAATTCCTAATGATGCATGGATTGGTGACAATTTGTCTAACCGTAAACCGATTCTGATACTTGTAAGGCATGAACTAGGATAAATACATGAGTAGAGGTCTGTTTAAGGCCCCTAATTATGTATAAAAATTAAACCACTTTTGTTTATACAGTGCTTGATGTCCAATCCTAACCTGACCGGGAAAGGGCGAATGCCATCCTCCTGGTTAGAAGTGGGAGTTTGGACTAATTAATTCCATGTTTCACTGCAAGTGGTGGATTGCTTAAGTGGTTAGGGCATTCTTCTTCACCCAACCCACTGCGTTCTGGGTTTAGAACCTCTCCCTTATCATACCTTTCCTCTTAAGTTCATGCCATCTTTCCTTTTCTAGTTTTCTTTTTTGTTGCTGAAATGTTCTTTCTTTTCGGGAAGTTACTGCAGTACGTGAGGAGGCATGTTAAGACGATAAATTCACATTGGAGAAGGGAAGCTTTGCCTAATAATTTAATAATCAGGAGCTTCTCATTCCTATTGCCAATGGGTTAATGAATGCTAACATTCTAACATGTATATGGTATCCTTTTCGTAGACAGACTACCGTCCATTGAATTGCATGCCCGTTTTGCTTTGATTCCTTAGGGGGTCAGGAATACGGCGTGTAACATCTCTTCCAAAACATGTTTCCAAACAATGGGCTTGTCTACCTTCCACGCCAAGAAAACTAATCTTTCCATAAGCAGTACTCAAAGAGAATCGCCGGAGTTTCCTTCTTTTCAACGAGCACTGAAATCTGGTAACGTAAACTTTTTTATAAGCATCTCTCCTGTTTATCTTTTCAAAACAGTCGACTTGACCTCATTGTTCTGAGTTTGCTCAAGAATTTTCTTCAAGCTGACACGTACTATCCGACTCATCATCCTCATCGTCCACATCTCTTTCTCCATCGCACAGGCAGCTGAGGGCAGCTTTGACACGATCCCATGTCAAACTATGACCAGCTTCGCTGTTTATCGCCTCTTCGTAGATGGTACTAATAGATAACGGAACTGAATTTTCTGTTTGTACCTTCTTCCCTGCAGTTCTAGTTGACTTAAGCATTTCTCTTAAGACAAGTGCAGCAGCTCCATCATCATCCAGTCGACGTGCTCTCACATTCTCAACGCAAGCCTTGTGCTTCAGACAGCGAACGGATTCCTCAAAGGTAGCACGCTAACTGTTCAACTGTTCCAAAGCATCATGCTTGCGGTTGTCCCCGGTGCTCCTACTAGAAGTTATCTGTCAGAATTGAAAATCTCGTAGCTTCTGAGGGATCTGCCGCCGCTAGAAAACCTTGGTTGCTGTACAGTCTCTGGTACTTCAAACATCTTTTTAGTAGACTTATTAGGACCTCACTTCTTTGGAGGAGCATCTTCTTGTTTATTACTTGCTTCTTCAAGAAGTACTGCTTCAGGACTCTCCTCCTCCAATGATTTGTTCTAGCGCAGGCCTACCATTCTTAAGTAAATCATTAGTAATTACTTCTCAATCTTTTGTCGATGAAATGAGCGCCATGAATCTGGGAAACCTCCATCAATGGAGTATGTTATTGAACGTGATGCCACCGACATCTTCGTCCCTTCCCTCAGACATCATACTTTATTCTTCTCTATAAGGAGGTATCTATACGCGTACGTCAAAACAAACCTTAGCCTACAAGGATGAGGAAACTTAAGACTTAAATAATGAATCAAAACGAAGCCTAACCTACAGAAACAAGGAACCCTATACCTTAAGAGAAAACAAATAAGGTAAGCCGCCAGTCAGGTCCCAGGTAGGCAAATTATACCGAACTGAAGCAGGAATTTAAAGGGAAAAAAGGCAACCGGGAATCCTCAGTTGTTCAGAACTTGAATGTCGACAGTGAAACCAAGACGAAACTCGAGGCTCACCATTTGGGAATATAGGAAGTAACCTAACTTACCTATAAGCGCATGCAAAACTCTTGTTTCCCGATGTGAAATTTATACTCTCAACATTAGCTACGTATTATAAATACACATACACACATCAATTAATTCTCTCTGTTCTTCTAACTGTCTCGCTCTCGCTCTCAGGCTTGCATTCAAGTTTCAATTTTATACAGTTTCAAGATTCAAATTAGAATATGGAAGGGACGACGCTGTCAACAAGACTAATCCTTGGCCGTTCAAACCCACGCCCAAAACCACGACGATCATCACATGACGAAGTTTCGACAGTGTTAGCTTTGTGGGATCCGACTTGGCCTACAAGTTTTAGTACAAATAATGATAACAACACGAAGCGAAAAGTGGACCAAGTACCCGACCAACCCTGTCCTGCTAGTACTACCCCTCATGATCGTGATCAGACGACTAATAGTTCATCAAAACGTCAAAAACTAGTGTCGACGCTTTCACACTTTCCCACTGGTGATTTCTTTCGCGATCGCATCCATGAGAATAACATGACGAACAATAATAAAAATACTGCAACAAAGGAGGAGCAGATGAAGAGGAAGAAAAGAGATGAACTTGTTATTGCCAATCTAAATTTTAAGGATTCTTGGGGAATCAAGAAGAAATTGACAGCTAGAGATCTCAGACACTTCTACATGCCAGCAAGCTTGATGAACAAACATATCCTCCCTCACGTGGACGACAAGTTTACAAAGTCGTTTGAGAACGGACAGGGTGCACAAATTACGTTTCATGACGGCGATACACACACAACACATCATCTTTACGTTTTGAAGCAGAGCGACAACAGTTACGTTTTGGTTTGGCACCCGGCATTCGTCAAGAGGAGACAGTTGAAAGAGGGTGATGAAATTGGACTTCACTGGTTCAAAACAAATTCCAAACCCGTCTTCTTGTTTTCTCTACTTGAACGGGGCAACCAAACAGCGCCCTGCACCTCTTGGAACCCTTGATTTATTAACCAGCCAACTTAGGAGTTAGGGATAGTGTACCTTTATTCTCTTCATTTCGGTTGGCACATGCTGAATGTAACTTAATTTTTTTGAATCTTAATATATTACTTGTGTGTACGGAGAGAGCTTCTGTAATTATTAAAGTTGATTGCATGTATTATATGCATGCACTGCGTGAGAGCTTCCGATTAGTCTGCTTAAATGGGGAGCTTGCGTTCTGATAGAACAGCTTTTGTGCTAATTAATTAAGAGAAGTATAGAACGGCACCATATGATCTGTGGAATCGAGAAATAATCTGGTTCCAGAATTTCACCTCTGTTTTTGCCTGACGACCACCTGCTTCTCTTCTGTTCAAAGGCCAATTAACTGTAAGCAAAGCTTAAGTGTCTTTGATTTATCATATGAGGTTATCGTAGATGAATAGTTAACACTGCACAATGCGATGAAGTGTTAGAGTCAGGCCTTAATAGGTTCCGATTGAAATGAATGAACCCGCTAGCAACTTGTACACTAACGTGTTTGTTTACTGTCACTCACATATACTTGTTTTATTCCGTTAAAAACATGGATCTTGAAAAAACAAACACTTATATAATATATCGAAGATAATAACTGGATATTTTGGTCTCGTTGATTGTTGCTTAATGTTCAGCACTAACTACTTGAAACGAGTTTTAAGTTTCATCAGGCAAAAAAATGTTATTAACAGATGACACGGATTAAATTATCTAAAATACAGAATATTCTAAATATTTTAACTGTTAAATCTTAATATTTACAATTTTAAATAAAAATCTGACCGTTAAAACACTCGCGTATCTCACCTTAGAAATCCCCACAAACGGACAAGCCAGCAGAGAGAGCAGCACAAATCAAAAAGTGGATGGCGCATACTCTCTCTATAATTCTCTATATCTCTTTCCATTCCTCACCCTTCAACCCCAATCTTCAACCAGCCACCACTCCACTGCCACGTGGCACATGAAATATCCACACCACAACAAATAACCACCACGCTTCTTCTTCTTGCTCTCCCTCGATGCCTGCGTTTATCATGTACATCCCATCCACCTCATCGAAATATAAAATATATTAAAATATATAAAACTAAAAAATAAAAATCCCATCTTTTCTCCTCAAATATAATAAAAAACACAAGTATGCTTCCACTTTATTATTTTACTATGCAGTGGAAAAAGAAAAGTATGAAATGACTACGTCGCCCATCACCCACTGACTTAAGCCCATTGAAGTCCATCCAAAAACCTTATGCATTACCTCCTAACTCTTTGAAAAATTTATCAAAAAACCGGGGGTAGTCCCAGAAACCCCAGAAAAAAACAACAAGACACGTCAGCAGCAGCAGTATCAGCCAACATTTTCTTTTCCCTTCCATCGCAAAAAACTGCCTGCCCTCACCTCTTCCAGCCTCTTATTTCTGCTCCCAACTCTTCTTTCTTTCCCAAATCAAACCAAGTAACCAAGAACGCAGAGAGCTAGCGAGAGAGATAGAGAGAGAGAGGGAGTAGTAGTAGTGGGAAAATGGCGATTTGTGCAGTGCACACAAGTGGTCAGCTGAACCCGACGTGTTCGTTTTCCTCCTCGTTGGGGTTCAGCGGCCAAAAGCAGCAGCAGGTGGCGGTGTTCTACAAGCAGAGAAGCAGCAGCAGCAGGAGATCAGTTGGAGTGAGTGTGATAAGATGCGAGCAAGAGACGATTGTTATCGGTTTAGCAGCGGACTCAGGGTGTGGGAAGAGTACATTCATGAGGAGGCTGACGAGCGTGTTTGGAGGAGCAGCGGAGCCGCCTAAAGGAGGAAACCCTGACTCCAACACGCTCATCAGCGACACCACGACGGTGATATGCTTGGATGATTACCATTCCCTGGACAGGACAGGAAGGAAGGAGAAAGGAGTGACCGCGCTCGACCCAAGAGCTAACGACTTCGATCTTATGTATGAGCAGGTGAAGGCCATCAAGGAAGGGAAGGCTGTTGAGAAGCCTATTTACAACCATGTTTCTGGTCTCTTGGATCCTCCCGAGCTCATCAAGCCCCCCAAGATTCTTGTCATTGAAGGTTTACATCCAATGTAAGTGTATGCCTACTTAATTGCTCATCTTAATCACTTTCATTAACTAATTAATTACTACTTTATCATTTTTCATCAGTACACATTCATGAAATCATGGACTTGTTCTTAATTAGAAACTTCCTTGTAATTTATTTCAACTTCTTCTTTCACATAAGCGGATAGTTTTACATTAAAATTCATCTAAACTGATTTCGTAAAAGTGCTATTATTAATTTATTATTATTATTATTTTTGGACCACATAATTTTTACAAACATTATCATGACCAATAGTATCAAGTCGATATTTTCTTTAGTATCAAGTCAATATTTGACAAGAAAATATTTTCTCATGTATATATACAAATAGACGGGAGGGAATTTAAGGAACTCTTCTTTTCAAATAAATATATAAATAAATGTTGGAGTAGCTCACAATTTCAAATTTACTCACTGACCTAAATAATCCAACTATCATCAGTAGAAAGAAAACAACAACAATAACCAAACCTTATTACACTAAGTGAAGTCGACTGTATGAATTTTAAAATTGTTATTGTGCTTTGTTTTGCATTGCACTAAGTGAAGTCGACTGTATAAATTTTAAAATTGTTATTGTGCTCTGTTTTGCATCAAATCTTGCATTAACTTCAAATACGCTATATCCTTTCTTAAAATATATTTCCAAGTCAACATCAGTAAATCGAAAAGAGAAAAAGAAATCAAGGCTGGTAAAAGTTGGCATATACAAGTATACAACCATTATCCCTACTTTACATATCTTTCACAAACATATGTATTTATTTAAGCAGAGAAAAATAATACTATACATCCACTTGCGTCAATCAAAAGACTATGGCGGGCGCTGGTGTCATACGTAGTTGACCAATCAAGGATTTGTATGTCAATATATGTCATGTTTTTGTTTGAAATCCATGTAATTGTGGCCTTTATAAGTTCCAAGCGGCATTCCTTTCTATTTTAGAAGCAATATTTTTATATAACGATATATTTATACAAAGATATGAGGAATATATGAATTGATTTTAGATTTATCATTATTGATGTTCAAACTTAAGATAGATCGTAGTCATAAGTGATTATTTTATTAATACTTTAATTACTCAATGATAAATTAATTAATTCCACGGACAACCACCTTATTATAATTATAAGCTTTGTTGGAGGGAAGAAGTCAAACTTGAAAAGAGAAATACACTTCGTAACGAACCTAACTGTTAGTTAATTATGCATTCAGAAATATATTAATCACTTTCTAAAAAAAAAAGAAAAAAAAAAAAAAATATATATATATATATAATATTAATCAATTAATATATGTATGTGTAGGTACGATCAGCGAGTTAGGGATCTGTTGGACTTCAGCATATACTTGGACATCAGCAATGAGGTTAAATTTGCATGGAAAATTCAGGTAATTAAATTAACCCTCGGGTAATTAAACCTAATTTGTTAAATTAACCGTGTTAATTAAGCTAAAACTTGGATTGTTTAGAGGGACATGGCGGAGCGTGGACACAGTCTCGAGAGCATCAAAGCCAGTATTGAAGCCCGAAAGCCTGATTTCGATGCTTATATTGGTACGTAACACACTAATATATATAGGGGTGTGATATCCACACACCTCTTTTTACTTCTCTCACATATTTTTAATTTTTGACCGTCTGATCGGATGATTTGAAGAAGATCAACGGACAGAAATTAACTAGAGGTGTGGGAGAAGTAAAAAGGAGTGTGGATAGCACACCCCTATACACACACACATACCTTTACTTTGCATGATTTAGGTATGAAAAATGATTTTCGCACTCCCAGTTTGTTGTATTGCGCTCTTTATTAATAATCTTTTGTTAATTGTGATTTGCACGCAGATCCACAAAAGCAGTACGCAGATGCAGTGATAGAAGTGTTGCCAACCCAATTGATTCCAGGTGACAATGAGGGGAAGGTGTTGAGGGTGAGGTTGATTATGAAGGAAGGTGTGAAATATTTCAACCCAGTCTACTTGTTTGATGAGGGTTCCACCATCTCATGGATTCCCTGTGGAAGGAAGCTCACCTGCTCTTACCCTGGAATCAAATTCAACTATGGCCCTGACACTTACTTCAGCCACGAGGTACGCATTTAATACTTGTTGCTAAATTTGTTCACCAAATAACGCGTCAATATGCATCCTACAACGGTGTTACACAAAAGCGTTTTTAACTAACCATTTTGTTTTTGGTTATGGTGGTGTCATATGTATATAATAGGTGTCATTGTTGGAGATGGATGGGCAATTTGACAGATTAGATGAGCTGATCTATGTGGAGAGTCATCTAAGCAACATCTCCACCAAGTTCTATGGAGAAGTCACCCAACAAATGTTGAAGCACTCTGATTTCCCCGGCAGCAACAACGGAACTGGCCTCTTCCAAACCATCGTCGGATTGAAGATCCGGGACCTCTACGAGCAGCTTATTGCAGCCAGGGCCAAAACTCCAGTAGAAGCAGCCAAAGCTTAGAAATATTGCATCAAATTAATCTCTTTGCCTAATTACATTGTCATGCCTTATCTCTATTGATTGTACCTACTTAATTCAAGTAAGAGACTGCATGCATGCCTATTTTCCACTCTCATCTCTTTCTTTACGTTGTAATTCTATGCATGAATATTTGTATTATACAGATTAAAATTAAACAAAATATATGGAAAATTTGAGTTATGAGGTTCACCTATATATCTTATCTATTCAGTATTTCAGTTTCCCAATACTTGGTTGCATCACTCTCATATAACCTTGTGATCCTCTTTGGATCTCTGTGACCAAAGTCTAAAGATCTGGATATCTGGACCATTGAAGAGAGAGAGAGCGAGATTTGGACTTTTGATTTGTATGAGATGAATCAGTAGAATATACTAATGAAATCCGCACGATTTAAAATAAGTGATCCGAATCTCTGAGTGCGCTAGTTTAGGACAAATTCAAAGAGGATCTCAATTCTATATAACCAAACCAACCCTATGGATAAGGTGGGCCCCTTTATTTCCTTTATTACGTATTTGCTTCTTCTTTCATGGGGACTAGGGAATGAGCTTAGCATGATGTTCAATATATTGGCATACACGTAACCTGATTTGACAATCCTTCATGTTCAATTTTACCTATCTTTAGTTCATCTTCAGTGTCAAAAATTGGGGGCCTCGTAAAATCGGGGCTCTATGTGGTGGCATTGCCTGCACGACCAAAGATGGTTCTTTCTCATAGCTTCTAATCTTATTAGACTAATAATAAAATTTACAATATCACGTTGTATTCAGTGCAACGTTAAATGAACATGTAAGATTTAAAGAAATAGATCTTTTACCTTTATGGCTTTTACCTACCCATTAATCTCCCCGTCCCCGTGCACTTGAAGCCACGGGGTATTGTAGCGACGACACCGGGCCCTAACTAGCATCTCATGATAATCGGCCTTGCTTATCACAGAAAAGTTTTAGGGAGCAATTGTAACTTAATTAAAATGGCATAAAAAACCCTTGTTCTTCACTTGGTCCTCTGTTTAAAACCTCCTAAACTCGTTTAAGTTAATTTCTTCGATTCCTCGTGACATCAAGTTCTTCTCTTTTAGTTGCAGCTTACACGTTCGCAATGGCGTTAAGGTATGCTCATTCACTTATAACGAACTATTCAGGCTGGCTTCCTACCAACTAAGTGGTGCAGCAGTAACTGATAGTGTTCATAAATCCAATAAGATAACCGAATATGAGTGTTTGTTCAGGTTTACAATTGACGTTCTTTGTAGTACGGTTTTCCAACGTGAATTCCTGTACTAATGGAAAAATGTCTTGTATATATATATATATATACGGTTAATAAAAACAATGATTTTGAAGTAGTAGCTAATTGTGAGAACAAACTAAGGAGCTGATAGTGTCATCCAACTACGGCAAGCAAACTTTGCCTGACTGCTGGAATTGAACAAAGCAAAGAGCCAAATATACCATTCAGAGCGTAAGCAATGGCGCAAAATGGGAGAGCCTCCGGTTCCTTGGCTGACAATGCTGCGGTTCCCAATCCATGAGCACTAGAGCAACAAAACAATAAAACACCGTAAGTGCATAACAGACAGTAATCGAATTATGATTTCTTAAACTCACTCTGATGAGTTCTAGTTAATAACGCTTATGTCTTTTAGCCCGGAGGTAAAAATCTTCAATATTCAATGCACCTAAGAAGTCTCAACAAACTGTCCTACCATATTCAGATGGTTTAAACAATTCTTTCTAATTGTTTACAGTTTGGCCCACTTGTTTATACTTTCACAGTTATAGTTTCACACGCAGATCAAGGTTCAGGGGAGATGCATACCTTGATGCAGTAGCTATCCCTCGAGCAATAGGATCACGAAATTGTAGTTTATCAAGTGTTGCTTGCACAAAATTAGCTCCTACCAGACCAGTTACTACAACCACGGCCGCTGTGAGAGATGGATTGGTACCTACAATTTCAAGGATACAAGTTTCAGATATGTACCATACGCAATTTTGTTTTTTAAGCATTATAAAGTTGTATCATTTTGTGAAAAGAGAAAGAAAAAAAAAGTTGAGATAATAAAACAGGAATAGCCTCGGGTTTCATTAGTAACATTTTAGAAATTCATGTCAAACTCAGAAAATGTTTATGTGGTCAAAGTTTTCACGTCGACAACTACAAAAGTGTGAACTAGTACCTTCAAACAATGACACAATGCTGAGAGCTAATGCCACAGTTATACATCGTGGTAGAATTGAGACAGTCAAACCAGGTTCCAACCCAACAAGACGTCCAACAAGAGCGGTTGAATACAATGAGAATATGGTTGACAGGATGACAGATGTGAAAATCTCAGCTGCGTGCCTCTTGACGAGCTGAAAATATGTAGGGAGCAGAAATAATGTTCAAATATGGTTTCATGTCAACTAGATATTGGTGGGAAGTTAAGACGGCAATTGGTCTAATGCACAAATTTGAATCAGGTTAAAATTATAAGAGTACTGCTGCAGGAAAACCCCAAAAAATCTGTTTTTCTATACAACAATGAACCAAAATAAACAAGTATAACAAATAATTATGGGAAACCCGGCCTCTTCAAATGTTATTTACCTTCCTCTGTTTGAACATTGAGAAGGCAAATGAGAGGATAACAGACCCCAAGAATCCCATCAGAACATCACCAGCTCCAGGATTAGATGAAACCTTTGTAAGGTAAGATCCTGTGAATATCAAGAAGAATGACGATCTTCATACTTAAAGCACTCGGGGTATCATGAACCATCATGTTTCCCACAAGTCTAATGCTAATAGATTAGCATTTTTTTGTCCGACATCAAAGGTGTTCTATAAATCATTGAAACCTCAAAACACTTGTGACGCGATACAAAGCATAAGATGTTTCCCTCCAGACCCATGTTATGTAATTCTTCATATTCATCTAATAACATTAAGTCCATTTAGTCCTCTAAATAGTACGTCGGGTATTCCTTTCTGTGGTTATATAAAATTGCATGGAAGAAACAAAAACCAGGAATTAGCACACTGGTGAAAATACCACATCCAAAAAGAAGGAACAAATAAAATAGGAAAAATCAGGATTAACCAAGAGACCCAAAAAGCTAATTTGGAATCTGACAAGTATGTTGTGCAAGTTGTTAAAGTTTTGCTTTCTAATTTGTTACATTTAATCACAATGTTCAGCCAAAACCAAGAATATTGTTTCAGATGTATACCAAGAACAGGGTCAAGCCCAGACTTGGAGAAGTATCCAAAAGCGAACGCAGCCAGATCTGCAGACAGCGCACAGCAGATGATGGGGTGGAAAACCTTCTTCACGTCTGATGGAAATCTGAAAATTAGAAGTCAACAGAGGCATGAGACCTTAAGGAGGAGAAGATGCCAAATTTCAGTAACTTGTATTAAAATCAAAACCATTATTTGGTTTATATATTTATGTACTTTTCATAAAAATGTTCATGCTGTAAACTCAGGAAAAATATGTTTTACCGAGAACCAACAATGTAGCCCAACACAGTTGATGAGAGTAGGAATGGGAGGCATGTTCGAGCACTCGTCCCCAGAGCTGTTGGGGATAATAATGCTCCAACAAATGATATCAGGAAGATCCCACTCCAAGACCACACTTCAACATTGGAAAAAGGAGAGGGTTTTCCCATAGGCTCAGCATCTGTCATTTCTGTCTTGACCATTCTTCTTACAGCTATTGCCGTATATCCTGCAACAGCAAGGGTGACCAGCCAGCCTCCAACTGCACAAAATCATTAATTACTAGCATGTAACTGTAATAAAAGCATAGGGGAAAACAAAGCATGTAGATACCAGAAGAGAGAGGGGGAGAGGCAACAGCAAAGAAGTTTAGTGTTAAAGAAAGATAGTTTGTTGACTATGCAATTTCAAATTGAGTATTTTGTGCTCAACCGAAGAGGTAACATGACATCTCATCATCGATGGTGGTGGAAGATTAGGTAAAAGAAATCTTACACAATACTGTGAAAAAGCTTTCTTCATCAATTCTTTTCAATCAAACCACTCATCCATTTATTTGATCGAGAACCACACGGTCTTATCTTTGTTGTTTCATTGAGAACAAGTTAACTAGATATTTTTCTAAGCGTTTTCGCTTTCTACTTTAGGATGATAGTATGGGTGATCTAGAAACAAATGACCTATTTATGATCACTGCTACACAGCCTAAACTCATCACAATTGTTAGAAATTGGTCAAACAAGTAATTGATTCACTGACACTGACAACAGAAACCAACATGGCAAATTGAAAATATAAGTAATTAATGCACAGTTTCATCAGAGAAAAGCTATATTAGAAAGAGTAGCGAAAACTTGCATACCTATAATGAAGCAAATCTTGATACCCGAAGCCGCAGGAATACTCTTTACAGAAAGGGGCAAAACAACCAAAGAAGGAACATAGAACAATGGGAGCCATCTCTGGATGAACAAAAGCGCCGGCTCAAAGAAGTTCATCAAGCTTGTTGCCACAGCAGGGACAGTGGAATCAAGAATAACAAGAACGGAGAATATACAAAACATCCCGAAAAGCGCACTTGGGAACTTAATGGAAGCTGCCACAAATGCCTTCTTCAAAAACTTGTCCATTGCAAGAATAATACCAAGTGAAACAACCAGATGCAGAACCCCAACAACCTGTAAATTGCAAATTGCAATAGTAGCACATCAAACCAAAGTCAACAACTTTTATCAAAATTCCATTGAAACAACACGAAAGAGGCTATCCCATCGGAGATTAAACGCAGAAACGTTGATTTACTCACAGTTTGAGAGGCAGAGGAAGTGGAAGCACTCTCCGAGCCAGTTGATTTCACCAAAAATGGTGTCTCAGAGGAGGTTTCCTGAGAACCCATTTGCAAGAAGGTGGAAGTGGGTAGTGTAGGAAGTGTGGTTTGGGGATTAGTCCGCCGCCGCTTGTGCTGTAACCTGGCGCCATTGAAAGCAACAACAGGTGAAGCTTTCTGAAGTTTTGAAAGGGAAGGCAGGCAAGTTGGAAAAGAGAATATTGATTTGTGGTGGTTGTGAAGGGAGGTGATCACATTAGTGGGTTTGGCCGAAAAGGTCGACATGGAAAGAGAGTGGGGAGGGAGTGAGGGAGTGAGAGAGTCTGGAATCTGGATGCAACAGGGAAAGGAAACCATTGAAATTGTGCGGACCCGAAGCGAACGTTTTAAGTCAAAGGAGGAGGATGAGATTACAACCCCCCACCCAATCATATTTGTGCCCACCACAAGATATAAGTAAGAAACTTTTCCCGGGACTTTCAAATATTACACTTGGATGCCAGGGTATATTTTTTAGGATAATACTTGCTTCCCTGGGGATGCACATATTCTCCATTTACATTTATGAATGGCATGTTGACCGAATAAAATTAACGATCGGCACCATTTAGTATATTAATCTTCATTTAAAGATCAATCTTACAAAAAATTATTCAAATTGAAAATCGTTTAATCATCCAAACATATTAATTACATGGATAGTTCATTATAAATATATTACTTGGTACTTATATTTAGTACTTATACCGGGAGAGAACTTGGCTAATCAACATCGTTTGTTGGTGATGGATGTACATATCAAAAGAGAGAGAACAAAGAACAAGACCTTGAAGTGCCCAAGGACTAGATGGTGGAATCTAAAAGGAGAAAAACAAGCCACTTTTAAAGAGAAAGTAATCACCCAATTCGTTTGGGATAGAGATGGGGAAGCTAGCCAAATGTGGGATTTCCATGGCTAGTTGTATCCGAAAAGTTGCAAAAGGGGTATTAGGAGAGTCCAAGGGCTTTGCTCCACACCAAAAGGAATCTTGGTGGTGGAAGGAGGAGGTACAGACAAAGGTTAAGGCTAAGAAAGAATGTTGTAAAGCCTTACACAAGGATAGGACCGATGAAAACGGTGAAAGGTATAGAATAACGAAGAAGGAGGCGAAGAAAGCTGTGAGAGAAGCTAAGCTAGCAGCTTTTGACGATATGTATAAGCGACTAGATACCAAAGAGGGAGAGTTGGATATCTATAAACTAGCTAGAGCAAGGGAAAAGAAGACAAGGGACCTAAACCAAGCGAGGAGCATCAAGGATGAGAATGGAAAGGTTCTTGTTACAAAGAATGCGGTCAAAGATAGATGGAGAGGTTATTTCATAATCTTTTCAATGAAGGCCATGAAAGGAGTCCTTCTTTGGGGGAGTTGAGTAACTCAGAAGAGTGTAGAAACTACTCCTTTTATTGCCGAATTAGGAAGGAAAAAATGGTTGTAGCTTTGAAAAAGATGAAGCATAGAAAAGCGGTGGGCCCAAATGATATACCGTTCGAAGTGCGAAAATTTTTGGGAGAGACGAGTATAATATGGCTCACAGACCTTTTCAATAGGATTTTGAAAACGAAGAAGATGCCAAATGAGTGGCGAAAGAGAACTTTGGAGCCTATCTACAAGAATAAGGGCGACATACAAAATTGCATGAACTATAGGGGTATTAAGTTAATGAGTCATACAATGAAGCTCTGGGAGAGAGTAATTGAGCATAGACTGAGGCAAGAGACACGGGTCTCGGACAACCAATTCAGATTCATGCCAGGGCACTCAACCATGGAGGCAATTTATCTCTTACGAAGATCGAGAGATTTGGAAAAGACATATGATAGGGTCCCAAGAGACATTCTTTGGAGGATTTTAGAGAAGAAAGGAGTACGAGTAACATATATCCAAGTTATAAAGGATATGTATGATGGAGCAAGGATTGTCGTAAGAACTCATGAAGGACAAACTGAAAGCTTCCCCGTAACTGAATAGTTACATCAAGGCTCATCTTTAAGTCCATACCTTTTTGCATTGGTAATGGATGAGTTAAAAAGACATATTCAAGATGATATTCCTTGGTGTATGCTTTTCGTAGACGATATAGTGTTGATAAATGAAACTCAGGAAGGAGTAAATGGGAAGCTTAACCTTTGGGGAGAAGTGTTGGAATCTAAAGGTCTTCACCTAAGTCGGTCAAAGATAGAGTATATAGAGTGCAAGTTCAGTGCAAATGGATGCTCGAATGAGTTAGGGGTGAGGATTGCAGATCAGGAAGTGCCAAAGAGCTACTGCTTTCGCTACCTAGGATCTATCTTGCAAAAGAACAGAGAGTTGGATAAAGACCTCAACCATAGAATACAAGCTGGATGGATGAAGTGGAAGATGTGTGCCCATCGTATGCCACTGAAGCTCAAGGGAAAATTTTATAGAACGACAATACTTTATGGCATGAAATGTGGGGTGGTGAAGCATCAACACGTACATAAAATGGGTGTAGCGGAGATGAGAATGCTTCGTTGGATGTGTGGGCACACGAGAAAGGATAAGATTAGGAATAAGAATATCCGAGGTAAAGTAAGAGTAGCCGAAATTGAAGGAAAGATGAGAGAAAATCGATTACAATGATTTGGACATGTGAAACAAAAGCCTACTGACGCTCTGGTTAGAAGATGCGATTACGGGACAGAGGTTCAAGGCCAAAGGGGTAGAGAAAGACTTTGACTCTAAGAAAAGACTTGGAGTACTTGGATCTAACAGAAGAAGTGACATAGAACCGAGCACAATGACGTTTTAAGATCCATATAACCAATCCCACTTAGTGGGAAAAGACTTTGTTGTTATTGGTATTTATACTATTGATTTGTTTTATACATTTAAATGACTAAATAATTTCCAATGAAAATAATTTTTTATAGCGACGATCTTCAAATGAAAAATAATAAATTTAAACGGTTCCAATAGCTGATTTTCTCCTATCAAAATACATTTGTTCGGAAAATGGAAAAAAAGACATCATGCAAAGGGAATGCAAGTATTTTCCCTGAACTTGTTATTACCATAATAGAGGTGTTTTTCATTATTTACTTTTACTGGAAACATCTGAATTTCATTGCATAGTAATGGAAAAATACAACTGAAATATCAAATTCTCAGCCCATAGAGTTCGAACAACAAATTTAGCTAATTCATGCGCCACTTTGTTACCATCGCGTCGATGCAACTCACAAGAGAAACACAAAGATATCCTTAACTAAGACAGCCAGTACCACAAAGATATCCTTAACTAAGACAGCCAGTACCATCTAAGGGAGCCTCTGTCGAGTCCAATCCAAAGATAACTGCTCCAGCGAATATCGAAGCCACTTCAATGCGTCGGGGTCATGGACTCATGAGCATTTCCGGTCTCGTACACTTCAACTTAAGAATTTTACCCTTGCTCTACATATATAAGCAAGCCTCTGTCGAGTCCAATCCAAAGTAGCTTACTGATCGTTCTTTACTAACTCATGCAATGCAATTATAAAAAACGAAATGGCAAAACATAATAGGCCGCAGAAGAATATACTAAAACCACTCGGAAAAGGCAATGCAACTCTGAATCCCAATTGGATTGCAATCCGCGGATCAAACCTCACTTGTTCCCCCTGAAATACATGTATACTTTCTGCACAAACAAAAAAGGGAAAGACGATCAGAGAAATAGTAAGGATAAAGAACATGTTAACAATGACTTCAATCTGACCATAAGACCAAAAAAGAAAAATATTTATGCTGACAATCTGACTAGAACAATAAAAGAGGCATTCAGACTAGTAATAAATTCAAATCTTTTAAGAGATGACGAGATGAATGTGAGTAAACATATTCCAGATACAGTTGTACAAGCTTTTGTAAACATACCAAAAAAGGTATAATTGGTGAGAATAAAGAAACAAACATTAGTTGTTGTTAACGCTAAAGATTAAGTTTCATCAATAAGAGGGAAAACGAAAAAACAAGTGTAGTTTTGTAAAAGGGTTCTTGTTTTAGGGGAAAATGCAGTTAAGTATTCTGTTTTTCCAATAACAAAAACAGAATATTTCTGAAGCAAATTGGTGGAGTCACGGTGATCTGGGACTGGGAGCAATCACAATGATCTAGAACTCCAAAAATCCATACCTAGAGATTACTCAAGTAAATGCATGCCTTTGTAAGCCATCAGAAGCATTTTCTATACTTCTAAAGATTATAATGTACATGGGAAAAGGGAACCTCTGTCTCTCACCTGAAGTACCCATAAGCTTAGAAGAGACTCCAAGCAAAACAACGCAAACCCAGTTAAGTAGAATATCTGCACAGATGCAACAAAAAATAATATTAGTATTCTTATAACCAAGTACTCAATGAGATTGCACCAAACAATATTAGAGACAACTAAGCTACCTTGGTCATCTGACCATGATGATGCTAGATATTCCTTACCAACTAATACCTCTTTATTCTTTTTCCAATCACCCATTCTGTTCTCATTTGTAAAGCTGGGTGATATGGCTATGAACTGGGAAGCAAGTCTTCATGACTTTTATTTTAGTTTTGATCCATTTTCCCGACAAGATTGCATAATGAGGGTACATAAGATCTCATTAAAACCTAAAATCTAATTGAGAAAAGTGAGCCAGCAACCGAAGAAAAAATCTAGGTCGACCAGTGCCCACCTTTAAGGAACTAACTCCGATCAAGAACCATAAAGGGTATATATATTAATAGCATAAAGTGTATCCTTCATTTTTCTGTGTTGAGAGAACCTTTCAATGCTCAAGTAAGAAGCATAAGGGGTGTATTATTGGCCAAATCTAAAGAGCAGATATTCTATTACCAAAATTTGTTCCAGTATATTCTCAACGCATAGCACAAATTAAAGACCTGACCAGCCAACCAGAGCTAACAAAAGTTTTGAAATAATCTGATATTCTCAATTAAATGCATAGCATTGTGAACTTGACAATGGAATCTTGGTGAAGAGAGTTTCTCCCACTTTAGATCATTGTGAAGGTGGTTACTGGTTCATTTGTTAAAAGTGCTTAGGGAAAGAAGACAGCATTAATTCGGATGTCAAAAGTGTACACAAGTCTGAGTCTTGAGTTCTGGCAGAAAACCAGTGCATCTTTTTATTTCTTCCTGGCCTACTGCATAGTTTTTTGTTGACGTGGCCTACTTCATAGTTTAGAATCTAGACAACGTTTTTTCTTCCTTTTTTCAGTTAAAATGAAGTAGGCCTAATTCTTTATTATTTGCTGTTTTGAATC